CTTCTTCCTGGGAGGAGAGAAGCACAGTTGCACATCAGAGCTTGGAAAGACATGAGCTCTATACTATCATGCGAGGTCAGCTGTTCACTTTAAGGGTTTTGAATGAAACATTTTTTACAGTTGTGCAAGGATCTATCCTTTGCTGTTTCCTATCATCTGGGGAGGATTAGGTCTGTCTTAGCATTCTAAAGCCTAAGTTTTCTCATTCCAATCTACATTTGTTCTCTCTCTCCTCCCTTTTTTTCACAAAGACAGTCTATCCTTGCTTCCATCCCATTCTTATCTTATCCCACTCTCAGAGATTCCAATTTCCCTTGACCAGTTTCACTCTTCTCCAGTCATTTCCCACCCTTTTTCTCCACATACTTGGCCTCCTCGAGCTCCTCTGTGCGCTGAATCGCGTCCGTCTCATATTTGGTTCTCCACTGGGCCACTTCACCGTTGGCCTTGGACAGGGCTCGCTTCTATATCCTTGCCTTCCTCCAATTCTTGTCTTAATCCACTCCCAGAGATTCCAATTTCTGTTGACCAGCCTCCATTTTTTCCAGTCCTGCTGGAGCCTCCATTTCCCATCCTGCTTCCCCACATACTTGGCCTCCTCGAGCTCCTCCGTGCGCTGAATCGCGTCCGTCTCGTATTTGGTTCTCCACTGAGCCACTTCGCTGTTGGCCTTGGACAGGGCTCGCTGCAGCTCCCCCTTGGCCTCCTGCTCCTCCTCATATTGTTCCCGGAGCAAGTCACAGTCATGGCGAGCGGACTGCAGGGCGTGGGCCAGGGCATTCTTGGCCTAGACAGAGAGTGGGGATGTGTCAAGGAGCAGTAATATCTCATGAAATCTCTTCCAATGAATTAATTTCACACTACAAACATGAGTGCTTGAGGAGTGTTTGCAATGAAGGACAGACGTAAGCCTGGGGACAAAATCTATTAATCAAACTTATTACAGAAACAAAAGTCGTCCCCCAGGATGGCTTGTGCTAAGCAGATCCTGTCCCCACAAGGCAGTGTGAAGTTACAAGTGTTGTCAGTGGCCCTGGTAAGAAATCAGGAATAACCTTTATTTCTTCCTCTAGATGCCTCTTGAGTTCCTCAATCTGTTGGGTGAAAGCCTGTTTGCCTCTTGACAGCTGAGAAATCAGAGCATCTTTCTCATCTACCTGGCGTGAAAATTCACCTGAGGAAGCACATAAATAAGAAGATATTCTAATTGTCATTTATGACCGAAACAAACTGGTTTAGGAGTCGTGCCAGAAGATATGGGAGCCTCTCTAACCTGACTCTGTCTGCAGACGAGCTCTTTGAGCATTAAGGTCATTGATCATGCGCTGATGTTCTTCTTCCTTGCTCTTAATCTCACTCAGCTGATCTTCCAGAGTGCGGCACATCTTCTCCAGGTTGGCCTGTGGAGATCACAGAGAATGAAAGAAGATTAGTATATGGATGCATTCTTATTATGAACAGCAGGATTCTAACCAGAAAAAAGTGAACAGACTTGCACATTATAGACTGTTCCTTGGAGTTAGAATGCTAGAAACATGTTCCATGCAGAAACAAGAATTAGATGATAATCTGTCCATAATTTTAAAGGATATACTTCAACATTATTTATATTTATGTTTTTTTCATATTTTTCCATACCTTGGCTTTAGAGACAGACTCCATGTTGCTGGCCAAGTCATCAATCTCCATTTTCATTTCACTCTTCTCCTTCTCCAGCTTCTGCTTCACGCGTTGCAGGTTGTCGATCTGCTCGCCCAGCTCAGCTGTGCTGTCCGCGTGCTTCTTGCGCAGGGCGGCAGCCGTGGCTTCGTGCTGCAGCGTGGCCTCTTCCAGGTCACGGCGCATCTTCTGGAACTCTGCCTCACGCTTCTTGTTCATATCAATCTGAGCTGCTGTGGCTCCTCCTGCTTCCTCCAGGCGCTCGCTGATCTCCTCCAGCTCCCTGGACAGGTCAGCGCGATGCTTCTCTGCTTTAGCGCGAGAGGTTCGCTCTGCCTCAATTTCCTCCTCCAGCTCCTCAATGCGGGCCTGCAGAACAGCAGGGACCCTTGACAGCCGTGCCCTCCTCCTGCCTGAGCTGAGCCTGAGCAAGGCAGGGGAAGGAACAGACACTTGCCTGCAGCTCCTTGATTTTCTTCTGAAACTGCATGCCCAGAGCCTGTTCATCCTCGATCTTGCTCTGGATCTGGCTGATTTCAAAGTCTTTCCTTTGGACCAAGTGAACCGTGTTAGAGCTCAAAAAAAAGAGACAAGTGCTGCAGCCCAGCACTCAGGTGCCCCAGAGTCACACTTACTTTTTCAGTTTCTCATCCAGCTGCTGCTTATCATTCTCCAAATCCATGATGCTGTCCTGGGCCAGCTTCAGGTCTCCTTCCAGTTTCCTCTTGGCTCTCTCCAGGTCCATGCGCAGTTTCTTCTCTTGCTCCAGGGACCCTTCCAGCTGAACACAACAAGACCATCAGGACTCTGCCAGCCAGGTCAGGCTCCATACCTGTCC